ATGGTCAGGGCTCAGGTCTGACCTCCTGCTTGGAGGCTGGCTGTGGATTAGGAACTGGACAAGTCTTGTTCTATTTATAGCCCCTTGCTTTGAGAACAGGGTCCTCAAACTCTTGCATAAAAGTTACAAAAGGTCAGAGTGGTCAGCAGGGCAGCAGGAGTGATTAACCCGGCTCGGCCTGAGGGGACCTTGCTCCCTCCTGGCAGTCATGGGTTACAGGGCTGGAGCCTGAGGTGGGACGGGGCCCAGGGACTGTTGACTGTAGCTCCCACTGAGATTTCTCCTGGGGTGGAAAGACCAGAGAGCAGATAACACTTTTGGAAGTGCTGATAAGACAACAGAATCAATAGTGAGGGTCACAGAGACAAAAACCAAAAAACTCTGTTTGGAAGAGAACTAAAACTACCCCCAAGGGGTCCAAAGCCCACTGGAGTCTCCCTATTCTTATCTCTTTTCTGGGGAAGACTCAGAATGACAGGGCTTAACTCAACGGGGCAGAGTATCTACCCCTTATGGGGACATCCTTATCGCCTCTTGAAAACCCTTGGTTTTTCTCATGCTGGTCATTGCAGGGCCACAAATTAAGGGGAATTTGGGAAAGCAGAGATAACTCTCATTAGGCACTGGAATAAGTTACTGGAGGAAGTCCCCGGACCCGTCTTCATCTAGCAATGTCGAAAACAGGATAAACCACTATCAGTCTTATCTGGACTCCCCTTCCAACAGGAAAATGGGTGAAAGACGGCCTCAGAGGGTCTTCCCAGCTGTTTCTCACGTAGTTCACCCGTGGAGTTCACACAAACGTCCTCCCACCTCTTCCCAAGCTTCTCAGCATTAAACGGGTGAGCCTGTATATGGACAACTCAACACTCTGCTGAGTTGTTTGGTTGGTTGCGGGAGCCCCGTGCCCCGAACATCCTGCCAAGCAGTGTTGCAGGCACTGCTTGGGACTTCTCTGCTGGGCAATAGTTCTCTTTTATCCACCGGGGAGAATATTCTGGAGCCCCCAAACCCCTTATTAACGCCACTGGGTTTGGTGAGTATCCGGGCAATGACCTGAGTGTTATCAATTCTCTTTGGCTCCTGTTTGTAAGTAAAGGAGAGCATTCAAAAGTAGTACATCCCTGTGTGGAATGTTCCCTTCCTGTGGCCAATGTGGGCCTGGATCTGCTCCTTTTCCTTGCAGTTGGCTGTGCCAAGGATAGTCTACTAGAAACATCACTGGAAGGGACTTGATGTCCATTTCTTTACTGTCAAAATAACTAGGGAAGGGGCCTTTTAAAAAATTTTAGCTTGGCAGGTCGGGGTGCACCTTGTATCCTGCTGGGGATACTGAAGACGGGTTTAGTTATGGGTGCCCGTCTTGTACTCTTTTTTTTTTTTTTTTTTTACTATGATAAGCAGGCCTGGACCTAGGGTTTCAGGGGACTGAAAGAACAGGGGGAAGGGTATTTTGACTCTCCATCGAGTGCAGCTGTTTCTTGTTGCTCTGAGAAACCACCAGGAGCTCCCGCCCAGCTACCCAGCCACTCTGCCCCACTCTAGCCCAGAGCAAGCGAATCCATCTCGGAATTTCAAATATTAAGTATCAGAATTTGCAGGTTTGATGCCAGGGGTCCAGGATGGATGAGAGACATCCTATGTGTCAGGAATCTGGGTTGTGTCTCCTGCAGGCAGTGGGCAAGGACCCCAAAGATAAGGCGGGTAATGTGTATCTTGTTAGCATTCCCTTAAGTCAACCTGACATTGAATTTAAAAAAAAAAAAAAAAAAAGGGAAAACAATCAGGTGCCTTTGGACAAAGTAGAAAATTGACTAGGAAAGAAGTCGGTGGCAATCACTGTTAATTCCAGCGCAGCTGTAATCAGCGTCTCCCTGGCACTCTGGGCTACTTATTCTACTAAAGACTTAAGCCAGCTTGTTTTTGAGAAGAATCTTCTAATCCCCGCTATTTAACGCTTTCACATAACCCTGGTTACCAAGTGACTCGGGAGCCAAGTCGAAGAGGCTTTCTGCCTCTCACAAACACGTTTAGCCTGTCTCAGCTCATTTGTCCTCAAAATCTCCCGGGCAGTGCCAGCTGCGGGGTGGGGGTGTGGGCAAAGCCACACAGGAGGAGGAGACCAGGAGAGGAAGGGGAGCGAGAGGCTGCTGAGGTCGGGGAGCAAGGCCAAGGCCAAGGCGTCGCTCCCTGGCTCTCATGAACCCTGCATAAGACAGGGCCAGAGTCTGGGGTGCGGGGCCTCTCCCGTCGTGCTGGTGGGGTCTCTGTGTCTGCACAGAGAGGAAAACAGAGTGGACAGGAATCAGCCAGGGGCCTCGCGTGCAGGGCCAGGACAACAGCTCGGTTCTGAGTTCCTGGGGAGCACCGGGGGTTCAGCGTTTCCCAACCCCAGGCCCCAGGAGCCCCCACAGCCCCTCTCGGTCCCCCAGCCCGCTCCCAGGAGGGCCTGCGGGCGGCTCTGTTTCCAGCTCCCAGGTTGACCCCGACAAAGCCAGGCTCTCCTACCCGGCCCCCAGCTCCGAGGCCTGGCTGGCCCAGTGCTCTGTGAGGCCCCTGCGCTGACCTCACGCCTGGCCGGGGCCTGGGGTCTGCAGACTCGGGCACGGAGACGGAAGAAGACATCTTTGGCCTTCTCCGGGGGAAACCTTTCCATTGCCTCCAACCCGCAAACCTCCACCTTGGAGCGCCGCTTGCGCCCTTGCGCCCACGCGCCCACGCACACGCCTTGGCCGGGCCCGGGCGGTACTCACGCTGCTGGGGTGCAGGATGGGCAGCGGCAGCAGCAGCAGCGGCACACAGACGACCAGCAGCAGGTTCCGGGCCCGCAGCAGGCCCTGCAGCCAGCCCATGGTGGCCCTGGCTCCTCTCCCGCTCCCCTCAGAGCTGCCCCTTGGCTTCGGGCTGTGCTCGGCGGCACCGGTCCAGAAAGACGTCTTACACCGCTCTTGGCTCCCAAGAGTCCGTCTCTGGCCTCAGGGACAGAGCAGGAGGGCAGTTACACCCCTGGTTTCCACAAAAGCCTGGGCTCCTTGCCTTCGGCGTTAGGTAGGATTGATGAGCATGGTTTTATGGCCGGCGAAAAGGAACTGGGACAGGGTTCTATGCGGGGGCATCGTGGGCTCCTCCTCGCTCGGTCAGTAGTCCGGTGACTCCATTCTGGGTGCCGGCGGAAGCCGTCTCAGGCAGTTACAGTGACACCTCCGCGGCTGCTGCTGGGGCTTGAAGAAGCCATTGAAAAGCTTGGCAAAGTTAAAAACACCAAGAGCTTGTCCTGCTCGCCATCATCTTCCTCCCTCTGCTGGCCTGTTTTGAGGCGCACCTGTCTGCTCTCCTACCTGTGCCCGCCGCGGGTAGGAATGTAGCAGCCCTGGCCCCTAAGACGAGCACAGAGTTTGTCAGACTTTCTGCTGGTCCCTGCCAGAACCTGACACCTTAACTCTTTCCAACTTTCTTTCCTCCCAATTGGTTTCCTACTTAGAATTTGCCTTGAGCCAAGGCCTCCAGAGCAGCAGAAACTCCCCAAGACATTCCTTTTTGTCACAGGACAAAAAAACTTGCTGGAGGCCCACCTTAAACTCCCCTTCACCAATGGGAAGGCAGGACAGGGGCAGTGGCCCCACCCATTGCTCAAAGCCAATCAGCAAGTTGAAAAGAATGAGCCAATATCTCTGCCAGAGGCAGTTCTTGATTGGCCACAGCAGGGGCCTGCTGATTCTGCAGAACCTGGGAGGCTTGCAAAGCTTATTTTTCAGTTTCTCCAGCATCCTGGGGGCTGGAGTGATGACCATCCTGGTAAACACAGTCCCACTCCCCCCAGCGCTGCTTCTTTGCCTCAGGGCATAAGCCCCAGAGCTTTCCCAGCGAAGGCCACCTGCTGACCTGCTTAGGAAGATGATGTACCCAGTGGACGGTGAGGATTTTGCCCACAGAGTACAATATCAAACCTTCCATTTCAGGAAGGAAAAACTGCTCTGTTCCAGGGCGAAAAGAAAGGCCCTACGCCAGCAGAGAGCCTGAGCCTGCAAGGAAGACCCCAGACCCTTTAGGACGAGTGGGAAGGTCGCTGCATCCCTGGAAAAGTCTAGATGCCAGGCCCATTTAAGAGGCCCCTTCCGGCTGGGGCAGCTGTTCAAACGCTGCTTTCCAGATAGGAGGGAGAAGGGCTTCTTTGGTTGGCACACAGCGGGGAGGTGAGAGGGAAGGGAAGAGCTGACAAGTTCAGGGACAAGGCTTCCCCAGCAGTTACACTCTGGAATCTCCTCTGCTTACAGGCTGGGAGAAGCGTGTAGCTCTTCTCTCAGAGAGGGGCTGTGGATTTGGGACAAGCGGGAAGAAATGCAAAGGAAAACCCTAACCCTCCTCTAAGTGGTGGTCCTCAACAGCATTGCCTTCGTCGGGGAGACGCTAAGGAGGGTCGGGCGTCAGGAAATCCACGGTCCCTTGAGTTCACACAATCCAAGGAATGGCAGCTTCCGAGATGTACAGCCAGGCCAATTGAAAATGATCCCCTGGGGTGAAGGTAAAGCGCCCAGGGGAGCAATGCCCCCCAAACCAGTTCTGGACTTCAAAGGCAGGTGCAACTGTGGGAAATCCAGGTTCTCTTTGGAATTATCTTGCCATTGTAGGACTGGTTGGGATGACTCATTTCTCTAAAAGACCTGCTCCTGAATTCACTATGTTCTGGGCTATTAGGACCACCTAAACTACCTTCCTTCAGTTTCTTAGACTTCCATTCAGATTAATGGGGATGCCAATGTGGGATGATTTTGAAACTCAGAATGAACACTACTGCATGGGTGGCGTTTGGGCTGCAAATATTAAAGAGACTGTTTGGTAATGAACAGCTGGGGAAGTCAACATCCACTATTCTACCCAAGAGCCACTTCAGATTCCTGGGTGAGATAATCTGAGAAAACAAGGATTCCAGTGGCTTTAGTAACTCCATCATGGCATTTTTATTACACCGTAAAGGAATATTTGTTCAATAAAGTTAGGTGAGGCAAGTGACACAGTAAGACCAGAAGTTCTCCTTCAGGACTTGGCGCATTTTTCAGATGAAGAAAAACCCTTTGGTCCCCCTCGGACGAGAGGTCTAAAGTGCTCAACCCTGAACAGCAGAAAGTGGAAGGGAGGCCAATGAGGGCTGGCAGAGGGGCAAGGCGGGGCGGTTCCACTGTGTGGAGCTTCAGTTTCACAACACGAAAAACTCGTGGCGATCTGTGTGGCACGAGCATGGAAGGAGACCAGAAAGTTCACGGAAAATGGAGTGAAACCATGTTTATTTGAGTGCCAAGAATTTTTGAAAGTTCTGTATTGTTTTCTCATAATAGGCATTTTCATGGACTTCCTGAAAATCCTTCATGTAGTTAACATTACCGTACCCTTGACATTGGTTAAGATGGTAACTTTTATGAGTTTTTTTCCTCTAATGGACAACAAGGAAATGGGTTAAGAAAGTAAAGGGTGTTGTGCACAGGCAGTTAATGAGCATTTCGTTTTCGATGAGTTTAGCTGTGGAAATATCTGTTGATTTACCACTTATGTGATTGTATTTTCAGTCAGTTCAAGGTGAGATGACTGAGCAATGCAAATTGCAGCGCAGAGAGGTTTGTCAATGTCTCTTGTGTGATGCGGGAGATAGCTGTGAGGATGCCAGCTACGGCAGAAACCTCCGGGGTCTTCGATCCTACAATTTCCCAGCAGTGTACACATGGCAGCAATGGGTCTGTAAGACAAGTTTCCACTGCAAGCATTACACTCTCACATTATTCTGTGAGTAAATGTGACAAAATGCAACCCTTCTGTCGTTGTGGAGAGAGCAACATGAACAAGGTGAAATGGGGGGAGGAAGAGAGAAAGAGAGGGGTTGGTGCTGTGGCGTAGCAGGTAAAGCCACTGCCTGCAGTGCTGGCATCCCATATGGGCGCTGGTTTGAGACCCGGCTGCTCCACTTCCGATCCAGCTCTCTGCTATGGCCTGGGAAAGCAGTAGAGGATGGCCCAAGTCCTTGGGCCCCTGCACTCACGTGGGAGACCAGGAAGAAGCTCCTGGCTCCTGGCTTCAGATCTGTGCAGCTCCAGCTGTTGCAGCCATCTGGGAGTGAACCAGCGGATGGAAGACCTCTTTCTCTCTCTGCCTTTCCTCTCTGTACAACTCTGACTTTCAAATAAATAAATAAATCTTAAAAAAAAATTAAGGGAGAGAGAAAACCACGTCTATCTACCAGTTCGCACCTTAAATGCTGCAACAGCCAGGGCTGAGGGTTGGGGGGTGGGGCTGAGGCTGGATCTGGGGGCTGGTAGTGCAATCCAGGTGTCCCATGTAGGAGGCCGGGACCTAATTACTGGAGACATCACTGCTGCCTCCCAGGGTGTGCATTGGCAGGAAACTGGAGTCAGGAGCTGGAGCCAGGAATCAGACCCAGGCCCTCTACTTTGGAGTGTAGGCATCTTAATCACTAAGTGTTAAATTCCTGCTCCAAGGGGCAGGGTATTTTGGGGAGTGAGGGATGGTGAGCATAATATATCATTTTCATGTCAATAAAGTAATTGTTATAAAACTTTTTGGGGTAAGAAATTAATCTGCTTTCAGATTCAAATCGTGTTTAAGAACCTAGTTATGGAAATAAAGTCTTCATTTGCCTTTAAAAAGGTAATTTCTTTTTTGTCAGTTGTTGACTACCATATGCTTTCAGGTCCCAAAAGTTCTACATACAAAGTGCCTTCAATTTTTTGTTGCTAGATGAATGAACCTAGCATTGCTACCCGTGATCCTGGGATTGAGCCTTCAATTCACAGGTCTCCTACCATTGGAGGAGGCATTGACCATAAAACAGTAGGCAGGGACTGCAGAGCTGGTCTTTCCATCTGATGAGGTCTGGGTACAGATCCATTCGGATGGGGGTGGAGTCTGGGGGGGTGGTGCATGACTGACTGCATGGTGTCTAGGGATGGAAGCCATTGTTGGTCACTTCCCAATCCCACAAGCAGGAAGAATGGAAAGAAAGAAGGTTCACTTCCTCTGGGGATTCACAGTCCTGTCTGTACACTGCTCTTGGTTTTAGCCAAGAGACTGAAAGACAGTATCAGAGTATGAGCAAGCAGTCAGAGGGATAGAAGTGGAGAGAAAGAGAGAGAGAGAGAGAGAGAGAAACAAAGTCAACCAGAAGGGGCCTGGAGGTGTATCAAGAAACAGATACAGATATTCAGAGTTGGGTCCAAATACAGAGTGGCAGAAATGCTGGAATGAAAGGAAAGAGACCAGCAGAGTTATGATGTCAATTAGAAAGAGAAAGACAGAACAACAAGTGTAACTCAGAACCTGGGCTTGAGGGCCGTATGAGAGCAATATGATCGGGGAGAGAGGCTGGGAGTTATCGCTCCTCTGGGCCTGAGAGTAGCACTACGCAAGACTGGAGATGATGCAGATGACATTTCCTGCATCCTTGTATTTCTCCAAAAAGACCCTGTTGCTAGGGCTGATAGGCAAAGCTCGTTTGTGTCAAATGACAATTGTTGAATAACCTTCGCAGAACCGAATTTAGCCCAGTGATTGTCATTCAAAGACTAGACTTTCTGCAGCTTCCAGTCCAACCCCAGCTGACACTTTGCCAAAGCTAGTAGCATTCTTGTGCTGTGAGGAGCCCTTGTAGAACCTAGCAGACACTTCAGCCAGGAACTGCTCTTTGACATAGAATGAGAACATACCTCACTACCTTAATCTTGAGGCTAAGGAAGAATGAACCAGGGAGGGCAGGTTACATCGGTAAAAATGCCTGACGGTGAGGGAGGCAGCAGAAAAACTCAGACCTGGGCAGAGAACAGGCCAAGCCCCAGCTCGCAGGGCAGCGTCGGTACAAACAGTCCTGCAGGCCTCTTGTTGTCCCTCCCTGCAGTATCTTGTAGTTAGTTCAACGATTGTAGGAATTTCAAAGGTGGAAGGAATCTTAGAGATTATCTTATCAATTCGTTCATTAGACTGTTTCCAATGAGTCTCCTAAGCTAGTAAATAAAAGCTGAAACTTTTCATATGTATAGTTTAGATGTTTAAATCAGTATTGAATCAACTTAAATCAGTATTTGGGCATTTGACAGGGTAACATCCTGTGTTTTCTTGGGTGCACCTGGTTATTTGAAGATGCTAACTTATTTTAGGATTGGGAGAGAGAGGCCGGGGCCACCTCTTCCATTCGCAAGGCCCCTCTGCGTTAGCTCGGGTTCTGTGTTGGAAAGACAAAGCAGGACTGGGCTCCCAGCACCTCTGTGGCCCCCTTTCTTGTTTCTTTTCTGTATACAATCAGCTTACAGAGAGGGTGAGTTAAGGCAGACAGGTCATAAAACCACTGATTTCCTGACCGATTCTTCCTGGTGGCTTTCGGAAAAACTCAGGGAGTGCATCCTTGGCTCACAACGCATTTATTTGGGTGTAGCTCTAGCTTCTTCGAGTTTACTATGGGACTGCTGGGAAGCCAGCTCCAGGCCGCTGTCCCCTCACCCCATCTTCGTGCCATGCCCACACTTCTCTGCCGCCCTCTCTCTCTCCCGCCCTCACTCCTGGTGTGTCCAGCGATGGCTCTGCTCTGCGGGGAAGCCTCTCTTAAGACTCCTGCATGACCTCAGGCAAAGCATCCCGCCTGGCAGGCATCCCGAGGGACCTCAGCGGCCCTTTCTCCCGGCACATGTGCCTGGCAGGAAGCTACCAAGCGCAGAGGGGCATCGGGGCTCCTTGTATTTTATCTCGGCCGATCTGTGTCGCTGGGCGTGTTTTCCTGCTGGGCTGTGTAGGTGGAGAGAGAGAAGGAAGCCTTTCTGGATTGCTGTGTGTGCAGGTCCCTGCTCCGGGGGCCCAGGCTCTCAGGGAGCCGCCCGGGGGCCTGAGGACCGCATCAGATCATGCCTCAGGGCCTGGAAGAGGCTGACCAGGGACTGGGCCCAGATGTCCTTCTGATACCCTTGGGACAGCGCCGTGCGGTAGGCCGCATAGGCGAGGGTCAGCACGGTCCTTTCAAAGTCCTCCCTCCTGAGGACGCCGGGGCGGCTGGCCAGGCTGGCGCTCAGCCGCCGGATGTCCGGCAGGCGCTTGGGGATGACATCGTTGCAGACGGCGCGGAAGTCCGCGGCCTTGCGCAGGGAGTCCAGCTCCTCGTCCCTGATGGAGATGTGCAGGTCGGGGCTGATGCGCAGCTCGGCCAGCAGGAACTGGTGAGAAACACAGGAGGCGGAAGACATGAGGGCGGGCCGTGCTCAGGACCAAGCCGCATTCCTCACAACCCGCATCCGCGCGGGGAGGCTTCGGGGGCAGAAGCTGTGGAATCCAGAGAGATGTGGGTTCCGGGCCTGCCTTTCCCACTGCCCATGGAATGGGGCAAGAGTTGCTCAATGTTTCCGAGCCTCGAAGCGCGGACACACCCAGCCTGGTGCCGGCCGCAGAGCTGCTGTTCAGGGGACCGCTGGTTCCAGGGTCTGGTGCCGTTCCCTGCCGCCCTAACTCCATCCCACCCACCACATACCTCCTAAAGCATACACCGGCTCTTCTGGGTAATTTCCCAAATCAGAATCTCGGAATTTGAAGGATGAGGAGAATTGTGCGAGGAGTTGGGTGGGATACAGAGACTGGGCTGTGTCTCTCTCTGCCTGCCCAGGGTAAGGGCTGGGTGGGCCTGCCATCTCCTTCCCTGGGCAGGGCCAGGCACACAGCAGGCACCTCACAGATGCTCGTAGCTGGAGGAACTCCAATTCCTAACTCTTCTCTCTGACTCCATCTTGCCCCTGTTCTGCTCCCTCCTGCGTGGTACTGTCTTTTATCTTCTTAAAACATGGATGGCGTGGGGGTGGGGGTGCTGACACTGTGGCACAGTGGCTTAAGCCACCACTTGCAAATGCTGGTGTCCCATATCCCAGCAGCAGTCTGCTCCACTTTGGAGCCAGCTTCCTGCCTGTGTCCCTGGGAAGCAGCAGCCCAAGTGCTTAAGTCTCTGCCACCCGCGTGGGAGAGTTGGCTCGAGTGCCAGGCTCCCAGCGTCAGCCTGACCCAGCCCTGGCCACTGCAGCCATGCGGAGAATGAGCCACTGGGTGGGAGATCTCTTTCTCTGTCACTCTGGCTTTCAAGTGAAACAAATCCATCTCTAACAAACCAGCCAAACAAGGATCTGCTGTGTGACTTCCACGTGTGAGACGTGGCATTTCCACTGTGCTCCCCACGGCAGGATTCAGTGGTGTGGCTAGAGCACAGTATCTCTTTCTTTCCTTTTTTTTTTTTTTTTTTTTTTTTTTTTTTTTTGACAGGCAGAGTGGACAGTGAGAGAGAGAGAGACAGAGAGAAAGGTTCTTCCTTTGCCGTTGGTTCACCCTCCAATGGCCACCGCAGCCGGCGCGCTGCGGCCGGCCCACCGCGCTGATCCGATGGCAGGAGCCAGGTGCTTCTCCTGGTCTCCCATGGGGTGCAGGGCCCAAGCACTTGGGCCATCCTCCACTGCACTCCCTGGCCACAGCAGAGAGCTGGCCTGGAAGAGGGGCAACCGGGACAGGATCCGGTGCCCCGACCGGGACTAGAACCTGATGTGCCGGCGCCACAAGGCAGAGGATTAGCCTATTGAGCCATGGCGCCGGCCCTAGTATCTCTTTCTTAACCCAGCAGTCTCAGTGCATGGTCACATGGCTGAGGGGTGACAGAGCCAGGGCTGAGGCTCAGATCTGGAGCCACAGAAGGGGGAGGCAGACAGTGCAGCTTCAGGACGTGTGCCCTGTAGTTTGGTGGGGGTGCACTTTCAGTGAGGCGGGGGCCAGAGTTGAGCACAGAGAGCCTGCAGGGTGGCCCTGGGCTTCCAGAAGCCCCTCTCTGCCTACAGGGAAGCCTGGCAGCGTGATGGCACCCAGACCCTGGACCCTGTGGGTGAGTCATGCCTCAGAGCTGGTGGTGACTCCCAGGAATCAAACCGAAGCACTAATCCTGCCTCCACTGGACTGATGCCTTCCTTCCCTGCTGGGGGGAGGGGGGGCTGGAGGTCCTAGGGCTGCTTTGGGACCCGCAGGACTCCGTGACCCCCGCAACGAGTCTAGACCATTCCCCACAGCAGCAGGGGCCAGTCATGTTCAGGGTCTCTAGGAGGTCACTCCTCCAGAAAGCATCGAGAAGACCCAGTGCCTTCTAGGTGACCCAGATTGACGACCGTCCCGTCTGCCTACCTCGTAGAGCAGTTCCACTTCCTCCAAGGAGTTCTGCAGGACTGGGTTCAGTGGCAGGGACGAGGACCTCTTCGGCCGATGGGCAGCAGGGAACAGCACGGCTGGAAGAAATAGAACGTGAGCTCCGGGGAGGCTGTGTCCACACTGCCCTTCTCCCTCCTTAGCCTTGCTGTGGCCAGAGAGTCTCAGAAGCCATCGACGCAGCGTGGTGGTGGACACAGAGTGGGCATGGGGACCGACTCCCCTGGCACGTCCTGCAAAGCTCCTCGGGATATCAGACCCTGCAGTGGCTTCAAGCCTGGTGGCTCATCAGGCCCACCTGAGAAGGTATCCTTTTTGTGTGTTTATTTTTAAGATTTTATTTGTTTACTTGAGAGGTATCATTACAGACAGAGGCAGAGAGAGAGAGAGAGACAGACAGACAGAGAGGTCTTTCATGTGCTGGTTCACTCCCCAAATGGCCACCATGGCCAGAGCTGGTTCAATCCGAAGCCAGGAGCCAGGAGCTTCTTCTGGGTCTCCCACAAGGGTGCAGGGGCCCAAGCACTTGGCCTATCTTCTACTGCTTTCTCAGGCCACAGCAGAGAGCTGGATGGGAAGAGGAGCGCCAAGACACGAACCAGCACCCGTATAAGATGCCTGCTACTCCACGGTGCTGGTCCCCTGAGAAAGTTTTGAAAAATGCATGTGCCTAGGCATATGTAGGCCCTGAGGAATTTATACTAAAGCAAAGAGAGATAATGCAGAAGAGAAGTGAGCAAAGCTAAAGTTCCAAATTCAACAAAGAAGTCCCTAAAGATAGGAGGGTATCTCAAAGAGTTCAGAGAGAGTGGCGTTAAGTCTGTTTTGGTGCAAATTTTTTAAAGTTCATGTATATGAGAGGCCTTGAAAAAGCTCATGGGAACATGTGTGTGGTGAATAATCTATGCACTGGATTTCAAAATGTTTGTGCACCCATATCGTCTTATCTTTTAATTCCGTTTTCCGTGAACTTTTGGAAGTTCCTCTGTACTGTTCTCCAACAGTACTGCACCCCTGTGCGCTTTATTTTATCAGAATAAAGTGCTGCTTGATAGTCATTCTCCTTGCTCTTCATCAAGGATCAGGGCTACCCTGGCCTCCAAAATATATACAGAGGGCAAAAATAAAGGGAGAGAGCTGCCACAAGACCCGGACTCCTGGCTCCGAGGGACCGTGAGGCCCAGTTCAGGCTTCCCCCAGGCACCGTGGTTTAAGAATGCACTCAGCCTACAGTCAATGATTTGTCAATCTTGCTCCCCAGGGGTTGCACAGAGAGACGCGGGATAACCAGAGTTAGAGCTTGCTGGGGACCAGCAGGGGGAGGAGATAGACTATTTATTACCAAGCACAGGCCTGCTGGCTATAAGCTGCAGTTCTCGGAGATCCTATCAGGCTGGGATAAACAGCCCTGACTACCGCCACAGCCCCACTGTGCTGCAAGGATTGCTAAACCTGCTGCCAGCTGATAACAAAAGGTGCAGTTTCTCCAAGACATTTGATTGTCATCTGCCAGAAAATGGAGGACATAACTAAGACTGCGATGGCAGAGTGGCGCCCCCTGAAGTTGTGCAAAGCGCAACTTGTAGAACCGAAAACGACCACTCTGCTGGTCAGGGACGGAGCTCGGAGCCCTGAGGAGAAGGCCTGGTGGTGTCCGGTGCACTGTGTTGTAGGAGGCAGGGACCACGTCACGCATTTAAGATGGATTTCCGGCAGAAGGGATAAAAGGTGAAATAGCTTGAACTCACAGGAACTTTCCCGAAAACTTCTTTGTAGCCATCTCCCACTTCCCAGCAAACGAGCTGGTTGGAGGTAGCTTGTTACGCTCCATACCACAAGTTCCTCAGGGGCTGGGATACATGTGGCTTTGTGTTTGGGCACCTGTGGCAGAGCCTGGCAGGCTTCTAGGGAGTGCACTAGGCTTAGCTACTGGCTGGCAGAATCCTTGTCTGAAGGACTCTCTGGCCTGCAGTGCGACCAGCGTGGGAAGGAGCCTTTGAACTTGGAGCAATAGCCCAGGGTCTTAGGGGAGTTTCCTAGATGTTAGGGCTCGTGGAGCCCCTGGCTTCTGTTCATCCACGGTCTCTGCCTGTGGTTTTAGGGGAGCTGAGGTGAGTGAGGCACCTCCGACTCTGCTGGTTCATACCGTTAGCATCACCTGTTAAAAAATACTGACCCCGGCCGGCACCGCGGCTCACTTGGCTAATCCTCCGCCTTGCGGCGCCGGCACACCGGGTTCTAGTCCCGGTCGGGCGCCGGATTCTTTCCCAGTTGCCCCTCTTCCAGGCCAGCTCTTTGCTGTGGCCAAGGAGTGCAGTGGAGGATGGCCCAAGTGCTTGGGCCCTGCACCCCATGGGAGACCAGGAGAAGTACCTGGCTCCTGCCTTCAGATCAGCGCGGTGCTCTGGCTGCGGCGGCCATTGGAGGGTGAACCAACGGCAAAGGAAGACCTTTCTCTCTGTCTCTCTCTCTCACTGTCCACTCTGCCTGTCAAAAATAAAAAATAAAAATAAAAATAAAATTAAAAATAAAAATACTGACCCCTGGTCCCAGCTCCAGGATGCCGATTCCGCAGAGCCAGGGTGTACTGGGGACGTTAGGTTTTGTACGTCTTCCCGGGGTAGAGGATCACTGTCCTCATCAGGAGGCGCTTGGACTGTGCTTGTGAAGTTGTACAGAAGCCACTGCCCCTGCTGGGTGTCCGCTTTGGGCTAGCCCAGTGGTCATCAACCTGACTTTGCTGCAGCATCACCCGGGAACCTCTCACAACTGAAGCTCACACCCTAGGCCACCTTAGGGGTTCCCTGGGGGTGGCATCGGAACTTTGACAGCTTCCAGGTGACAGTGGCAGCCAGCATCGATAACCACTGGGTGGCCCAGGTCCCTGATAAGCAGATGGAGCCCTTGTACCATAAAACAGTTCAAGGCTCACTCCAGCGGGCCTCCCAGAGACATCTGAAGAGACCAAGGGCATCATGCTGTTGGAGGCTGTAGGTGGAGGCACAAAGAGGGTGTAGACGTTGCCTCTGCTTTCTCCTCAGTAGACATGGAACCAGGCTCACAGCGGGCCTAGACGGGTCTCGCCTGGGGCGTGCCCTGTTTCTTGCTCTGTGCCCAACTCCTCTTCCCATCCAGAAAGCATGGATGAAACCCCTTTTCAGCGTAGGATCTATCTGTGAGATCCATTTTGCTTCTTTAATTCTGCTCCCAGAAGTTCTCTCTTGTTGCAAAGTTGAAGGTATTGTTCCCTTTTAAAAACATTCACCGCTCAGCGGATGGGGAGGGGACAGGGAGGGAGTGGCGTGGATTTGGAGGCCTTTCTGCCCCTGTAATCACAGGGTGGCCACCTCCTGGGAAGCCATTCTCTGCCCTAGACCTGCACTTCCTCACTCAATGGCTTGTCTGCACCCTGCAATGCTGCGGTAGCGTGCTCGCGCCAGGTGAACCCCGAGTTCTCAAAGGGTCGAGAAGAAAATGCTTCCGATTCAAAGCTGAGCCTGAAAATGGGAACACTTGTTTCCAATAGCCCTCGTTCGCCTCCTTAATAATGCCTCCCTCTGGAGGTTAGCATTAGACAGGGCTTCAGTGTGCAGACTCTTGCTCTGGGAGGTCTGTATGGGAGCACAGGAATCTTAAAGGCGGGTCCCTCCCTCCCCGCCCCTTCAGCCCTGGCAGTAATTGCCGTCACGTTTCCGTAGCTGCTTTGACCATGGGCGTCGGGCAGAGGTGCGGGTGCTTGTGCCCCCGCAGGTGGCTGGAGGGCAGCCAGCCCTGGGGCTGGGGTGTCATTGACTCTGCAGCTGCCCATGCCTAACTCTATGTGAGGCAAGACCTGGAGAGGACAAATCCATCTCCCCTGGAGACGCTGGAGGTGGGTGAGGAGCCGCTCGGTGGACGCAGTGTATGGATGCAGAAGTGGGGTTGATGTTGCGACACAGCTGCTTAAGCTGCCGCCTGTCACACCAGCATCCCACATTGGAGTGCAGGTTTGAGTCCTGGCTGCTGCACTTCCAATCCAGCTCCCTGCTAAGGCGCCTGGGAAAGCAGCGGAAGACGGCCCAAGTGCTCGGGCCCCAGCACCCACAAGGGAGATCTGGCTGGAATGCCAGCCTCCTGGCTTCGGCCTGGCCCAACTCCAGCTGCTGTGGCCATTTGGGGAGTGAAGCAGCAGACGGAAGCTTGCGCGCTCTCTCTCTCTCTGTCACTCTGCTTTTCAGATAAATCCATATTTTTTTTCTTTTTAAACCCACAGAGATTAACAATTGAATGTCTAGGCACCCTGGGATGTTCTTGTCCATGATGAAGGCTCAACCCTGCCAGACACAGCCACGGCGAGACAAGGGCCGGCCGACTCCGAGCTGTCCACCTGGATGCAAAGCTTGAAGCTCTGACAGCGTTGGAGAAACATCCAAGTTTCCTGGGGAGCCTTCGGGGCAGCCGCACCGTGTGCTGTTGTTCCCCATCTCTGTCTCCGTGTGCTTTCAGCATCCATTCTACCCATTTCACATCCTGCCCCTCTAACACTGGACGGCCAGCTCCAGGCAGGGATGGGGGAGGGGCCTGCGCTTCTCCTGTGTGACCGTGGGGTCTGGGTGATGCAGGAGCTCTGAGTGCAGCCTCGATGCAGATTTAGGAATGACTTCTAGATGGTGAGCTAGACGCGAAGAAGCACAACCACAGCCCTGGAGACTGGAGGCTTTGCCGGGCTTTCTTCCCATCCCGTCTGTCTTGTCTCCCGCACGGATGGAGGTCATCTCAGGTTCGGCTTCCTGCTCGCCACAGGTCACCCGAGCACCGAGCCACAGCCAAGGCTGCAGAGGCACGGGCGTCCGAACTCCTGGCTTTGTGCACCTCCCGCTTGGTGTCAAACCCAGTCCGTTTGCTTTCTACATCAGTCCACACCCCCGCCCCGCTCACCCTCCTGGATGTGCCTCTGTCCTGGGGGACACCTGAGCTGCATGTCGTCTCCTTGCCTGTGAGACCACTGCCCAGGCTGGCCCTTGGCACGGGCTCCTGGCTTCTGAAGGTTGGACCGACCAGCGTAGAACAAGTGATTCCCTTGCTGAAGGTCACGCCACACGGCCCAGGTTAGTCCAGGAGCGGAGTCAGAGGTTCAAGGCTCCCAGGTAACGGTGTGTTCTGTCCTCGTCACCTGGTGGGAGACAACTTTGGACCTCACACTGAAGTTGTACGGTGTGCGGCTCGGGAGCACTGGGTGCCTGTCTATGCGCCTTGTGCTGTCCCTGTGTTCCTAGGAGGTAGGTACTCACTTCCTGTTTCAAAGATGAAGAAACTAGGCGGCTCAGGAATCCTTCCACCCGATTTGTTTGAGGTAGGACTAGGCTGTAACTCAGATCTCTGGGACCCTAAAACCCAGTCTCACCCAGGGGGTGATCAGTTATGTGTTTATGTGGGTGCCTCTGCCCAAAGACCAGGCAATCCGAAGTTCTAAGTAACTACAAGAAGGGCAACCAGTGAATTATGAATGAGCGAATGCATTTGCTGTCATAGTCTTAGGGCCGGTGTTATGGTAGCAGGGTAAGCAATTGCCTGGGAGGCCAGCATCCTATGTGAGCCCTGGCGTGAGTCCCAGCCACTCCACTTTTTTTTTAAAGATTTATTTTGTAAAATATTTGAATGGCATAGTTACAGACACTCAGAGAGAGAGAGAGAAAGAGAGAGAGAGAGAATCTTCCATCCACTGGTTCATTCCCCAAATGGCTGCAATGGCCAGGGCTGTGCTAGGCTGAAGCTAGGAGCCTGGAGCTTCTTCTGGGACTTCCACATGGGTGCAGGGGCCCAAGCACTTGGGTCACGCTCTGCTGCTTGCCCAGGTGCATCAGCAGGCAGCTGGATCGGAAGTGGAGCAGCTGGGTCTGGAACTGGCACCCATACG